AATAATTAATGTGGTTTATCAGGTTCCTGAACATTATTTGGAAGGTGATATTGATAATATTTTGTAACATTTCCGAATATTTCGTAATATTTGGTTACATTCGGAAATATTTGGTAATATTTGGTAATATTTGGTAATATTTGGAAATATTTGGTAATATTTAGTAATATTTGGTAGTATTCAGTAATATTCGGTAATATTTGGTAATATTTGATAATATTTGCTGATAATTGGTAATATATGGGAATATTTGGGAATATTCGGTAATGTTCGGTAGTATTTGGTAATATTTGGCATTACTTGGAAATATTTGGTAATATTTTGAAAAATCAGTAATATTTAGTAATATCTTGAGTATTATTGGTATTATTAGATATTACCTAGTTTATAGTAATATCCAGTTAGTTCAGATGAGTTGCTATTCTTTAGTATAGATCTAGAAAGTATTCCATTTTAGCTGACAGAGCCATATTTCGAATAAGTATTATGGCATGGTATTGCCAACATAAAAATAAATAGTTATTTTCTCCACATGACATTAAACCATTAAACATGGCTTTTTGATGCCACTTAACAGGCATAGAAGGTGCACTTTAACTGTCTGGGTAGCTTTAAATCTTGTGATTTTCTCCCATGTAGAGCAAATAACTATTTAGGTCTACTGAATTTGGCAAATTAGTTGCTGAAATATAGTTAGACATTCCTCAATACCTTTGTGGTTGTTGGGTGTTCCTAGTAGCCGATTACTCAACCATTAGTCTTTAAACACTGAGTTCATGCAAATACATACTCAACCATCATTAAATTAGAATAAAGAAATCTCGAAAGAAATGGTATTTTGATACTCATTCTATTCATAGAGATCAGGTAGGAATAGCTCAAGGTATAGATACTCACGATGGAAAATAACATGTTGCTGCACCTGACAGACAGCTTTCAAAAATCTCGCTAGGTGGCGTACGCTTATTTTTCATTGCGACATCTGGTATAATTGACTCATAGAACATTAGAACGTATAATACCCATTTTCATAATATTACTAGAAATACTACCAATGCTCGTACCAATGTATTACTTATTGCGTTATACTAATATTACTTGGAATATCACCAATAATACTATATTACTATAAAATAATACCAATATTACCATATTATTGACAGATATTACTAATATTACCATATTATTGGAAGATATTACTTATATTACTATATTACAAGCAGATATTACCAATATTCCAATATTACTAGCTGATATTACCAATAATACCTGTCATATGAAATATTACCAAATATTACTTGATAATACAAGTAATACCGGTAATACTAGGAGTATACTACTGTACTGGTAATATATTACTGGCACGATGTACACCATATTACCATAGTGAGCCACCCCTCGGTTCTAGAATACTGTTCCCACATATGGAGTTCAGCACCAAAACATACTCTGATGCTCTTAGATTCCATCCAGAGAAGAGCCATTCGCCTGGTGGGTGACGCCACACTCACTCACTCTCTGACATCATTGGAACACCGTAGAGAGGTCGGCGACCTCTCACTTTTCTATCGATACTTCCACTAGCAATACCAGTCAGACGAACATTATAGGGATTTTCTTTCGTGCGCTCCATTAAGCGATAAAAAAATATTGTTGTTGTATGTTTATCCCAACTTTTCTCTGAATGCGTCAATTGTGCTCATCATAGCTATATATTTTCGTGACTACATATTGACAAATACCAATTTTGCAATTCGTATTTGCGAGAAAAAAGTGCACGTCACAGCTTTTCAATAGGTCTCTGAGCAACAATTTTTGTTTAGAGATTTTTTCTTTGACGGGGACAGATGGCGATGTCGAGAGTGCCGAGATTTCGCCGCTGAACGTCTGCCGAAGGCCTAAGAATACTGACAATACTGTGACATGTAAGAAAATGATTAACTTGGATAAAATCTCAACAGTAATTGTAGTGCCTAGTTCACTCAACTAGCGTTCTATATCAATCTAAATTGATGAATAAATGATAACTCCTTATTAGCACTAAAACACATAGTAGTGTTAATTTGAACAATGCAGGAGCAATTGGACATTCAGGTAGATTGGATAATTCAATCAATTCCCGGTGAATTCGACACTGTTTATAGTGTGAAATCTACTCTCTACTATTATATCCCAACTGTCAGCTTTTGTGACTATGTAATAACTCGGTTATTGAATTTCACTCTAAAGTGATGACATTGACACTAGCTTGGGTCTTGAGTGGAATTTTCACTTTCGAAATTGTTCCTTTCAACTCTATTTTCGTGTTTGTTCAATATATTTAGAGAAATAAATAGAGTTAGTTTGAATGTGCTTGCATTGATAATTTACAGTAATAGAATTGAAAAAATCACACTATAACATAACTAAACTATAGAGTTAAATTATTTACTCTAAAGCTTGGTGGTCCTCCTGGGAACAGATATAGTGTTCAATTTCACTCAATTTTTTTTACTGTGTGTGTTCCATTTAGCAAATAGAAACGGTGAAATCCTCAGCAGTTGCTGGAGGTTGAAAATTGAGGTAGGTAGCTCAAATGATTTCTCCCCAACCTTCAACGTCTACAACACATTCTGATGCCTCTACCTCTCAGTCACATTTCACAAACAATAACTCGAATATTCAGCATAATTTTGTCCCAACAGCAGCTCAAAAAAACTTACTACCAGATTTGATAGGTAATAATTGCTCAAGATAAGATACCTGTGATGTTATAGTTAATAGATGCGTGCTGTCTCCAAATTTGCTCCAGATGATAGTGTGTCTGACAGTTTGACGTTGACGTTACCATAAGCAACATTGAAACAAGAAATTCAGCGTGTCCTAATAGAAGCTGTTTCGATACGCATTTGGGTGTCATATAGACTTCATTGAAGACGCATAAAGAAACACCATGCTAAAACACTTCTTAGATCTTCAATGGAAGTTCAAATAGACACAATCTCAATATAAGATCATCAAGAGAAGCAACATAATTTAATGATAGTAAAGATAACTCATTTGGAAATTCGAACAATTGAACGTAAGAATATCGTTTTGGGTTGCCCTGAAGGCAGTCGAAATAAGTACAAGGTACAGGTTATTTATGATTTTTTTTTTCTGTTGAATAAACCAAGAAAGAATGCGAATGCGAATTCTCAATGTATTTCTTTATATATATATATCCATTTTTTTATGTTCATAATTACATCTGAGAATATTCCTATTAAATTATTTCTGATTGTTTCAAGTCCGCATTGTAGGTGATAATTCTTTGGATTGATGTATATGTATAGGAATCGCTGTTTTTATGCCCATACTTGCTTCATTTTCGATATGTATATACTGTGTGATCGAGGCGAGAAGAACAGTGTACCTACATATAAATTACTCGAGAATTTCTCTATAAATATTCACGATAATCATAATCCATGTCTCTTATGAAAATTTTAATAGTGAAATTTTACCTATATGATTGTCCACCCCTAAGCCACGGAGTTAGGCAGGCAGACAACATGATTTGAATTTTACTACACGAAAGGTACTTCTTAAAGTAGGAATCATGTATCGATGATTACCTTTTTTATGTTGCCAGCTCTTAGACTATACCTGATGATTCGATAGATTCAAATTGAATTTATCTAAAATTCATCAATAAATGTATGGTTATTTTTAGAAACCATAAAAAGAGTTTCAATATGAACACGTGACACGTTATAAAGTACTAACCCCCGTAACTATTTCACTTTGCATAGTAGAAAAAAATAATGAAAAACAGCATCACAGAAGATTTTTTTCTTTTTGAATCAAAATATATACATTTATTTTTACTCAAACAATAAAACCAATAAAAGTGTTTGAATCTTGAATCGAACACCCTATAGATATATCTATATATATCATTGGAAAGATCATTCGAATAACTTACCAAGAATATTCCACTCAATATAATTATAATTTGGAATTCATACACTAGTTGCTGATCTCTGTATATCATTTTAGATAATTAGTGGATATATCTGTTGATTCAAAAAGGAGAGAAAATCCACTGATGACTATTTTCTGCATGAAAAATGAAATAGTTATTGGGTGATGTTTTATAACGTATCACCCGGTAGACTAACTGATGTCTTAAGGAGCTATCAGTTTATTAACAACAATTCGATTTACAATTATTTGAAATTCGTCCGACTCAGAACGGTACCTCTTCCAATGATAAATAAACAAACAATATTATTTGAGAAATATTTCTTTTTCCCCAAATGACATTGAAAGTGAATTTTCAATGACACTTAACAGGCAGAAAAGGTGTAATTTTACTGCCTAGGCAGAAACAGTTTGTTGCTATGCAACTTTCCAATTAATTTGAATCAAATTGGTAATCAAAATTGACAATGACATTGGGTGAACAAAAAATGATAGATTATTTGGACTCCTCGTGAAATTGAAAAAAATTTTAAGAAACAATTATGTTTCACATGGCAGAAAAGAAGATGTAATGCCTTGGCTGGTTTGCTAGCCACGGCTACGCCTAGGCTATGAAATGCCTGCCGCGGCATAAAATCTTGTATTTTTCTGCCTAGTGAAGCAAATAACCATTGTCTTACTAGTCAGAAAAGCACTAGATTTAATGCCGCGGCTGACGTTTCATAGCCAAGGCGTAGCCCATCTAGGAATCCAGCCAAGACATTAAATCTTGTTTCCAGCTATGTGGATCAATTTCACGCAAAGTTCAAACAATCTATCATTTTGTGTTCACCCAATGTCATTGTCAATTCTGATTCCAATTTGATTCAAATCATTACACTTAGAACGTTGCATAACAACAAACTTTTTTTAAGTAGGCAGTAAAAGTACACCTTTTATTCCTGTTAAGTTTCATTTATGAGCCACTTTCAATGTCTTTTGGAGAAAGAATTATTAATAGTAATTTGCTGGACGATGGTAGGTACTAATATACATGAACATTATTCTTATTCCAGGTATGGCAGTGACTTGATGGCTGTAGAGTCTTATAGTGAAAACAATTTAACAGCAGCTATTGCCACATCTGCAGTACCTTTGGAGAGGAGAGGAGCTAGTCATTATTGGTTAGGCTTAGCATCGTTGGACGATCTTAGAACTAACACACTTGAATCAGCCGCTGGAACTCTGGTATCTCAATATTCAGGTAAGAGTCAGAACATCCTCATGGGTAGAGATAATTTACAGTGGGTTGTCGAAACGATAATAAGATGATTTCGGTTATAATTCCACAAGTGCATAAAAATTATCGATAATGTTGCAAGAATTATCTAAAAATTGCAAAAGGTTAATTTCATTTACAATATATTGAAATAACCGAATGCAATTCATATAAGATAACACGCTAGAATGCAAAATTTTCTGATGGTTATTTTTATGCACGAATATAATTCATTGGAATATTTCACGAATGAAGAAATTCTGTTATTTTCCTGAGAAATATCATAATACTGACAATGACTCTGAATATAAAATGTGCTATGAGACATTCAAATTGTACAGTGAGAAAACAATTCAATAACGGTTATTACAAATTGAATTACCTTCATAAAAAACTTGATAAATCATATCTTGGAGGCTACACCATGGACGAATTAAAAGATCATTCATCAATGTGTATTAATCCACTAGCAGTATTGAATAAGCGTCATCGAGTACTTCAGTAAACAGTATTGCGAAATTCAATAAGAGTGATTGCAGACTTCTATCGTATTCTCAAAATCACTCAATAGGCATGAATCATGAGCTGTGTTACTATTATTAACTGGTATTTTCGCTGTCATACTCCGGAACCTATAATAGGCATGAAACCTGTGTATTGAAATAATCAATGATTCTATAGTTATGAATATGATAATCTAATAATTTCTCATCAACTAATTATCCAGAATAAAAAAAAAAACTATTTTGTACATTTATTTTTCGTAGCTCTGTCAGTGAAAATTACATCCATATATACAACAAACTTTCGCAATACTCTTGGAAACGAAGTATCAAGAAAATAACTTGATAAAAATGCACTATTTTCCATCCATCGAAACACTTTCAATGAAAGAAAATTTTCACTATTTAAATATGTTTGTCTCCGATATCATTTTATAATTTCATTAGTACCTATAGAAAATTTGTTATTTCCTCATGATGGACTTTCCACTAATAAGCTTCGAAAAATGGAATGACTCCAATAGAAGATATGTCTTTATTCATTTCATATAATTATTCGATGAAAAACTATTCGATCAACAATTTGATGTACACCTGAAGTGTAGGTGATGATGAACTGCAGCAACAAAAATTTCAATGCTGTCATAAAGTCGGAGAACTGAACTGTGAGGATGGAAAAAAATGAAAAACTTGAACTTCATAAAAATCTAATTTTAAACTAGACAAAACAATACTAAAGATATATCTTACATTCAGGGTACGTATTGGTTGAAAATGAAATAACTCCATACCTATCAAATTAAAATATCACTCCAGAACGTCTTGGCCAACCCCAGTTTTTGCACACCTCTGAACATAAGTTTTTCAACATTTCACTCGATAATAACTCCCAACCGTAGCGTTAAGCTTTAACAAAGGAAATGTACGACGCACGAGGTGACATACCGACTGGACCGACTCAATTATTATGATTTATGATGACTCACGAGTCAGGAGTTGCACACGGGGTATACGTATTTTTGACGCGGTGATGCCAATTTCCCCTGGTTTGTTTGTACTCGAGACACATTCGTCAACGATTGTAATTCGTGTTACCTATGAGAGAAATTCGATAACAAGTTACGGTAATATGATTGAAATGCGCTCGTAGGCGTTGATTATCATAGATTTAGACATTATCGTCATTTGGAGTCCAATGGAGTTGATAAATATACTACCGATATAACGTCTCTAGTTGTAGTAACCAGTCGTTGTCGCTATTTATATACGTAAGTTGGGTGAATATGATCAGAAATTGATTACCAGTAATCAACTCAGACATCACAAGAAAAATTCAATGAGTGCAATTTCCTCAGTGTATATGGACTTGCACTCAGCAAGAAGAAGTCTCTGATAGAAGTCTATCTGACATTTATTTGTATTGTGCCTCTAGCGACACGGTTCCAAATGTGTTGTTATGGCGACGGGATGTTTTCGCAGTGGAATCTTCGCTCTGCAGTGCAAAGTTTGCTGTCATTTTTTGATAATTGCATTACTCTCATGAAACATTTCATATATGAAGGAAATATTCGTTGATTATATTATAAATCCTCCTACTAATAATCAAGAAGAAGACATATTGACATTGTGTCAATATAAAAACAGATATAGTCTACATTCAACTTCTTATTCCTTTTCTTCTTTGGTAGTTCAAGCTTTGTTTTCTATAAAAGGTTATATTCTGGAAATATAGTTTTTCTCATATTCCAAAGGATCCGAACAAATCGGCGACAAACAGGTTTAACCTCGGGGATAATCTTGTTTCCGTAAATATGTTCTTTGTTAGGGGTTAATAGTCCTTTTTCAAAAGAGGACAAGATGATGATCTCTTTAGCTCATAATTCAAAATCAATCAAAACAGGGTGGTCCAGGTACATTGATTCCGGGAAATGATGAAGACACGCAAAGAAGGGTACCTACACACCTCTCAAAACTTGGATGCAGGGCGCAGAAGTTCCTTGAAAAAAAAACTCTCTGCCAACATCGTCAGTTTGGTTAGAACCTCAGTTGATACATAATTTTTGGTTCATACATCTAGTTAATTTTGATGAATATGCTTTGATATCAACGGCAGACAATTTCCTTCAGCTACGAGATGACATTTTGAACTAGTAAACTTCGAGGGTTGGTATTTTTCCTGTCGTCAACTGTCATTATGTGGATTGAGACAGTCCTCCTTCGAAACGAAATCTGATATGGAAATCCTATATTCGGAATACGGTTAGTATAGTCGAATTAACAACTGCCTCTGTTGAGGCAAGTATATTATTTTATCTGGTTTAATGGTCTATCTACTGCATTGATGCTGGTATCGAAACATCTAATGTGATATTGTTGTTGTTGTTGTTTCGATAGTAATAAATATGATATGAGTAGTGATCCTCTACATTGTGTTGTATTCAGGTTATTGTGGAGGGTGAAAGTATCTACATCAGATGTCCTCAAATTGTTTCATCATCGATAATATCCTCCAAATTCACGTGTTTGAATCTGCTTTCAGTCTATTATTTCACCCTCAGCTTGATAGGAAGGAACACTGGCGGCAAATCGACCTAAACAACCTTCTATTCAAATACTAGAACACATCGGCCAAGCTCCGAAACTTGACGAATAATTTCATCAACTGGTAGATAGGGGGTGGCACACATCTTCCACCCCCAGCTCATATCTTAGATTCTCATAGATTTGAATTCGTAATTTCATCAACTTCTTAGTATATAATGATGGTTTTGATATTTATTAGCTCTTATCGAATCAAGGAAACTTTTAATCGTCCCTAGCCGTCAGATTTCAATAACAAGTTTGCTGATGAAAAGGTGTGCATTGAACTGAACGTTGAATCCTTTTTCGTGATTTCTCTTACTTTTCACGCTTGATGTAGGTAATATTATTACGATTTGAATTATTGAATACAAGTATACTAACATCACCCGCATTCTTTTTATCGGAATTTCTAATAGAAAATTTAAACATGTAGATAACTAAGTTGAAATGAACTAGGAAAATAATATTACCATTCGTGCATTTTGAAAATAGCATGTTACAAATATTAAACACGATGTGAAGGGTAATTCGATGATATATTGATATTTGCATGAATAACAATAAAACATGAAAGACATAATATCCAAGTTAAAAATCACTTCCACCTGGTGTCTTGAATTTCTCATTGATCATGTGTTGTTCTGGCTGGAAGCATCGTCAATAATATACATTTTTTTACCTAATTCTCAAGGAATGCTTCATCAGTCACATACCTCGACTCGTCATCGTTTTATATGGATTTCAGGAGCTAATGCAAATGGTGACATTGATGATAAAATGCGTTAGTGATCGTTTATCTGAATCTTCACTTATACAAGAATTGAGGACCAGAACAGCGGAGGCATATTGATTGTTCATCTACCATTATTAGTGAAAATATGACGGTCGATTATCGAAGCTTTCCATGAATTCAGAGTCAGATTCATACTTGCTATAGTTGAGTCTTGTCCGATTGACTTCTCCACTAGTGATCCTCATGCAGGCCAACCGAACAATGCAATAACTGAAACAACAATGAATCTGTAGTTACGAAGTATGATCATTCAGAAAATGAATCGATTTTGGATATTTTTGTTAGCAAAAAATTAAGAAAGTAGGTAGGTATTCTTGAATCCTGACAAACTGGATGAATTCACGTGTATATGTCAGGAAAAGAATATCAGAGCTTCTGTGAATTCATTCATCATTCTACGAATTGAAAGAGGATACGCCGTTTCACAATCTACCCTTTGGGATTCACTGTTACATTTGACTCAATCATAAAATTTGGAAATCATGATTTTCAAGGGACCGCCATCAACTTGAATGCACTTTTCATGATTGAGCGACAAATGATTCATGACACTATGAAGTAAAACCTGATCTAATGTAATGTATGTGTGTGTGTGGACGATATGGGACCTAGCGCACTCAGAACACCACTTCGGACCCATTTTCTTCCATCAAGAAAGCTAATTTCACGAGAGAGTGGTCCTAGGTTAATGATATCAACTGGGATGAGGATACTGATCTATGGATATTAACACGTTCATTTGAATTTCAGAGGAGATTATGATATAAAGGAGAACGTACTGACTTACCTCACGTAGAATTAAACTCAATATCAAAATAGGAAGTCTATTATGAGGAATCCTGTATATCCTGAACCATAATTACACAAATGAAAGCCATAGTAAATGTTGAGCCGTTGCTCTGATGGCCATTTGGCCAATAAGGCAATGAGAATAACCCGGTTTCCATATAAAAATATCTCCGTAAATACCAATATTTCATTCTTTTTTATATCTCTATCAATATACTATGATAGTTATTCATGTACCAAGGCCGTGAAGTAGGATTTTATGGACCGTTGCGTGTAAGTAAGCTATTGACACGCCTGAGTCCATGAAAGCAAGTTACGCCCGGAATACATACAACATATTGGTACTCTACTAGAAATCACCAGGAAAACAGTGGAATTACTTCACTGCCAAATCACCACTTTACCGCCCACTGGACTAATTGACCGCTCGCCTTAGGAGCTAAAGTGAAACTTTACGACTGCGACTCCGGGCGATGAAGTGCCACTTTACGCCCGGTCGTGCATGAAATATCAAAGCGAACTTCTGTGCACGAGATTGAAACAACAGGAGTACTACTTCTATTATTTCAGTACAGGATTTCGATCATACCTGTATACACATGACTCCTAATACATTTTATAGGCCATAACACTATCTTTATCTAGTTAAGAAGAAAATTCAAATACTATTCTGGTACCATTCGAAACCTTCTCCTTTCAACATCCGTCAAGGTGTCACCCTCAACTTCTTTTAATTATACCCTAGAATTTATTTGAATGAAATTAAATCTCTAATAAATTGTCAGTACACAACGTTTTATCACACTTCGTGGTCCAATATTCTACAGGTTTCTTCAGTATGAAAATATTGACTATCTAAATTAAATTTTTTTTGACAAAAATTTTATCGATTATAGTTATAACATGGGTTTACTGTAGCAAAAACCAATAGTACACAAATAAGTAATCTCTTAATGAAATCCTAAACAATAACATTGAGATTCATGGTATATACCCAGATATCACGTCTTAAGAACGTTGTTCGATATACAATTTACATAAGAACGAGAAAATCAGAAGTTCTAACATATAATAGGTGATTGTTACGATACTATCGGTATACTAGGTGGACAACTGATGAACAATTCTGTTGACTATTTCACTCGTCACATAATCAGACCAATCACAAACCAGAGGCAACGTGTGCTTATCGCGAAAACAGTAGCTGTCTTTCAATTCTGATTGGTCTCTCAGCGTTGATGTTTTCAATGGTGTAACCATGGATAGCTAAGCAAAGACTGGATTTGAGTTCAGCATAAAAAAAGTTTGGCTGTACTTGTCAGAATGAATCACTCATTTATAATAAATTCATTTTATGCTTCGTGAACGTGAAATAATCTGGCAAAATACCACTCTGTTCTAAATATCTTCTCATAATTCTTCCTTTCATTGTACACTCAATTGTGTTGTCGTACAGCAATACCACTCCTGAGGGACTGGTGGTTTTGCTCGGCAACACAATTTCGTGAACAATGAAGCGACAGAATCATCTCGAATATAAAGTCCATCGTGATATTACTCATGAAAGTAGTCTGGGGATACACACAATTTGAAATTATCTACTTAACTTTGTTTTTAGGTTTCTGGTCTTCAGACCAACCCGATCCAACAGCTGGTGAATGTGTGGACGTAATATTGACGGAAGAGACCCAATCCTGGGAACTAACAACTTGTGAGAGTCTACAACCATTTATGTGTCGAGCAAGGGCATGTCCGACTGGATCATTCCACTGTTCCAATGGAAAATGTATAAATGAAAAGTTCCGGTGTGATAAACATGACGACTGTGGAGATGATTCCGATGAATTGGATTGTCCAGCAAACTGCAACTTCTACTTAGCAAGCAGCGGAGATTTTGTGGAAAGTCCTTACTACCCACACAAATATGCACCACTTACGAACTGCAAGTGGACTCTGGAAGGCCCGCAAGGTCACAACATTCTCCTGCAATTCCAGGAATTCGAAACAGAAAAAACTTTCGATACAGTACAAATCTTAGCCGGTGGCAGAACTGAGGATACATCCATCAATTTAGCAACACTATCTGGGAAGCAGGACCTCACCAACAGATCATTTGTATCAGGCTCCAACTTCATGATAATCAAATTCAGCACTGATGCGTCAGTTGAAAGGAAAGGTTTCCGAGCTTCATGGAAAACTGAACCGCAAACTTGTGGTGGTACTCTTCGTGCCACTCCACAAGGACAAGTTTTGACATCTCCTGGCTATCCAGAACAATATCCTGGAGGACTGGAATGTCTGTATATTATCAATGCCCAGGGAGGCAAAATAATCACGATGGAAGTAGATGACCTGGATCTCGATGATTCTCGCGATTTTATACTGGTTAGAGACGGTGATTCTCCCAAAAGTCAGCCAATCGCAAGGCTCACTGGAAAATGGGAGAATAGTCAGAGAGTTATAATGTCGACAAGCAACCACTTATATGTTTATTTCAAAACAAGGCTTGGTGATTCAAAACGTGGTTTCAGAATCAGATACACACAAGGTTAACAATATATAATTTACATTTTTCGAAATGAATTTTCAATACATTTCTCCTTTAGGTTGCAAAGCCACTATCACAGCAAGAAATGGGACCATAATGTCACCTGCTTTCAGCTTAGCAAACTATCCTAGCAACCAGGAATGTCTGTACAAAATAAGGAATCCTGGGGGCCAACCACTATCTTTGAATTTTGGTAGTTTCGACGTCGACAAATCAGACTATGTTCAAGTATATGATGGTTCTACAACAAGCGGACTCAGACTCCACTCTGGAAATGGATTCACCGCAGGTAGCAGACCGAAGATAACCCTAACCGCATCAAGTGGAGAAATGTTGGTTAGATTTGTTACCGACGCATTACATAATAACGACGGATGGGAAGCTACTTTCTCTGCAGGTATGACTCCACGATAATAATGATAAATTCACAGATTCTCGAAATAGTTGCATATATCTGAATAAAGCCATACTATTATAACCAACACTCTTATCGACAGTAACTCCGTGTGCACGTGAATAACCAAAAAGTTGTTCAAATCTTGTATTCAGTAATAGTTTTTTCAGAATATCATAGCAGAGCGCTTTCGGCTATAAAGCCATCATCAGTGCATAACTGTAAGTAAATGATCAAATTTTGGATTTATTAACGGCTATTTTTTCTCTTCAAGAGCTAAAAGCCGATTACTTACTTACATCAGATATGCACTGATGATGGCTTTATACCTGAAAGCGCTCTGCTATGATATTTTGAATGAACTACTTTGCACGAAATACAAGATTTGTACTATTCACTGATCAATTTAGTGAATAATTAACATTTGAATCAAAGTTTTAGAATTGGAAATGTTGTCAATAGAATTCAAAATTCACAATTTCCAAGTACTGGTATTTGTGTTTCATCATGGATTTTTCAGATTGTCCCCCGCTTCAAGCTGGTATTGGAGCATTAGCATCTAGCAGAGACACTGCTTTCGGTACCATTATCACCTTCAGTTGCCCGACTGGTCAAGAATTTGCAACCGGTCGTAATCGCCTTACAACACAATGTCTACCTGGTGGCAACTGGTCAATAAGCTACATTCCCCAATGCCAAGAAGTTTATTGCGGCCCTGTACCCCAAATCGACAATGGGTTTTCCATCGGTTCTACTAATGTTACCTATAGAGGTCGAGCAATGTATCAGTGCTATGCTGGATTTGCCTTTCCAACTGGAGAGCCGATAGAGAGGATCTCATGTCTTGCAGATGGACGTTGGGAAAAGAAACCTACTTGTTTAGGTGAGCTTGATTGTTATTATACCATCTTATGCCGAGAATTCGAATGGAATTTGTTTTTTAGCTTCTCAGTGTGCAGCATTACCAGAAGTTCCTCATGCTAATGTTACAATACTCAATGGTTTAGGGCGATCATATGGTACGATAGTGCGATATGAATGTGAACCTGGTTATATTAGAAGTGGGCCACCAGTAATATTATGTATGAGTAACGGAACATGGTCTGGTGATGTACCGATATGTTCGAGTAAGTGAATTTCATGGAAATCAGTAAGCGATATTCAAATTGTCAATTTTCAGGAGCAAGATGTCCAGAGTTTCCTGAAATAAAAAATGGTTTCATGACAGACACATCCAGAGAATATTATTACAATGATGAAGCGCGCGTTCAATGTTACAAAGGCTATAAACTCATTGGTAATACGATCCTGAGATGTGGTGATAACCAATTATTCAACAATCCACCAAAATGTGAAGATATTAATGAATGTATAAGTAGTCAATGTGATGTAGCTTCAACTGATTGTATGAATGCTCCGGGATCATTTTCTTGTAAATGCAGAAAAGGTTTCGAACCTACTCTGGATTGCAGGCCGGTTGGTGACTTGGGTTTAGTGAATGGTGGTATACCTGATGAATCGATTTCTGTATCAAGTAGTGAAGCAGGATATGATAAAACTGTAAGTGTTTCAATAATAACTATTTTATTGTAAATATCTAAAACATTATCTCCAGATGGTCCGTCTAAATAATGGTGTCGGTTGGTGTGGAAATACAATTGATGGTGGTTCTAACTGGGTGCTTATCGATCTGAAAGCTCCAACGATTATACGAGGATTTAGAACTATGGCGGTTACGAGACATGATGGAAACATCGCTTTCACTTCGGCTGTTCGGATTCAGTATACAGACGATCTTACCGATGTTTTCAAAGACTACAGAAACCCCGATGGTTTGGCTGTAGAATTTACTATCGAGAAACCGACATTATCTATTTTGAACTTGCCAGTCCCCATTGAGGCACAATACATTAAGTTCAAGATTCAAGATTACGTTGGAGCACCTTGTTTGAAGCTGGAAGTTATGGGCTGTACTAGATTAGAATGCACAGACATCAACGAATGTACCGAAAACAATGGAGGATGTCAACAAAAATGTATCAACAATGCTGGTGACTATTCTTGTGGGTGCAATGTTGGTTTCGAACTATACAACCAGAATGGAACTTCATCTTTCTTCATCGAAAACTCAGAAAACGGTCGTCGCATAGGCGATGTTTACAATATCAATAAATCATGTGTACCAGTCATGTGTCCATCTGTTATCACCCCCGAAAATGGTGTGATTTTGTCTACAAAGGAGAAATATCACTTTGGAGACTTAATCAGATTCCAGTGTGATTTTGGTTATGTTATGACTGGATCATCTTCATTGCTATGTACATCAACTGGCAATTGGAACGGTACTGTTCCTGAATGTAAATGTGAGTCCAACAACAAACAACCTGAGTATCGGCACTATGGAATCTTTCTTTTTTTCAGATGCTCAATGTGTATCACTTCCAGACGATAAAAATGAAGGATTAAAAGTACTTCGCAACGATGAAGATAGTGTTCTAGTACCTTTCAGAGATAATGTCACCCTACACTGTAGCTCAACTGGCAGGCATTTGAGGGGAACTTCATCTTCTGGGTTCAGGCAATGTGTCTATGATCCTCAACCGGTAAGTTGAAAGTTGTAATGTTCACCTGAATTCTATAACTGAATGTCTTATAGGGCTTACCAGATTATTGGTTGAGCGGTGTTTTACCATCATGTCCTAGAGCCAACTGTGGGGTTCCTCCACCAACACCAGGAGCGGAATATGGTAAATATGTAGATACGAAATATCAGTCATCATTCTTCTTTGGTTGCCAGAATACTTTCAAACTGGCTGGACAAAGCGGTAAGCACGATAATGTAGTACGATGTCAAGCAAATGGTGTATGGGATTTCGGAGACTTGCGATGTGAGGGCCCAGTTTGTGAAGATCCAGGACGTCCAACTGACGGCGTTCAAATTTCGAGAAGTTATGAACAAGGATCTGAAGTATCTTTTGGATGCAATAGACCAGGATATATCCTGATCAATCCCCGACCAATCACTTGTGTGCGTGAACCAGAATGTAAAGTTGTCCGGCCTCTTGGTATTGCATCAGGTAGAATACCCGACTCGGCTATTAACGCTACTAGCGAAAGACCTAACTATGAAGCTAGAAACGTAAGGTTGAACTCAGTAACTGGTTGGTGTGGAAAGCAAGAAGCTTTCACCTATGTGAGTGTGGACTTGGGAAAAATCTTCCGAGTTAAAGCTATCCTCGTGAAGGGTGTTGTCACAAATGATATCGTAGGACGTCCAACTGAAATCCGATTTTTTTATAAACAAGCTGATAATGAGAATTACGTTGTTTACTTCCCGAATTTCAACTTGACGATGCGTGATCCTGGAAACTATGGAGAACTTGCTATGATTTCACTGCCAAAATACGTTCAAGCCAGATTTGTCATATTAGGGATTGTTAGCTACATGGATAATGCCTGTCTGAAATTCGAGCTCATGGGATGTGACGAACCAGAGAAAGAGCCACTACTTGGATTTGACTATGGGTATTCACCATGTGTTGGTATGTGTTGATTCATAGTGTGCTAATACTTCTATATCGTAATTCTTTTTCAGATAATGAAACACCAGTATTCCAAAACTGTCCTCAACAACCAATTATTGTTCAGAAAGATGTAAATGGTGGATTGCTACCTATCAACTTCACGGAACCCACTGCTGTCGATAATTCAGGAAGTATTGCAAGACTGGAGGTGAAACCTGCAAATTTCAGAACACCTATGTATGTCTTTGAAGATACCGTAGTAAAATATGTTGCCTATGACTTCGATGGAAATGTTGCCATTTGTGAAATTAACATAACTGTGCCTGGTGAGTACAAGTGGTTTCCTAGTTATCATATCAAAACTGATTGTTCCTTGATTGAATACTCAGCATCCTCATAAATGATACAATGGTAGCGAATATTTTGATTATATTACATTGTTTGTCAATATTCATTTAGAGTGTCTACTGGAGGTGAAAGGGAGATCATTGGACAGGGCGTCATTCAGTTTTTTTTGTGCAATTGCATACCTCGTTGGTCCCAGCACTGGGACCAAACGCCCCATAAGTCGAAACTTGTGCGGGGTTAGGTAAACATACAAACACAAACATCCATGGCCTAACTAGGATTCGAACCTATCTCTCGGTGGGAGTCCCCATACGAACTCAGCGCCCTCACGCTCTCGACCACCGAGCAGAACGAGTTGTTTTTCAAGTTTGAATTTTCAGATACAGATAGATGATATACTTTCCCAAATGCCATATTTTCTATGAAAAACCAATTGAATATCACTTCTCGTTTTACCGGAAATTGACATAGGTCGAGAAATCTAAATAGAACCTTGAATATATTTTCACGTCATTCGGTAAAACGAAATAACTCATTTCAAAGACATCACGAGTAGAAGGCTTTGATCCATTTCCAAATCTCCCCCCAAGGCCAGAGGAGTGTGACCTTGGGGGGAGTGACCTTGGGGGGAGTTACCTTGGGGGTGGCCTTGGAGGAGTGACATTCGGAGCGACCTTGGGAGTGACCTTGGGAGTGACCTTGGGAGTGGCCTTGGGAGTGACCTTGGGAGTGGCCTTGGGAGGGATACGGAGGTTTCATCTCGGACAATTGTCGTGGTGACCTTGGGGGGAGTAATTTTCGTGCGCATTTGTACCTCTTCTCAAGGATGTTTGGTGGTGTAGTGGGGTATTCCATGTCCGAGTTTCTATAAATACAGAATCCCCATTTCAAGTGCATAGTTATTCCGAAAATACTGCTGGCTGAACAATCTTGTCAGATCAGTGGAAGTGCGATAAAGTGTGATATCAGATTTACGTAAGTTCAATTATTTATATATTTTTTATTCCTTCTTTCACTCGACAAGTAAAAATAGAAATGGCTCCTCCTAAAATTGATCTAGTCGCAATCAATAGTCGAATTAATGAGGAAAATGAAATTATTAAACAAATTCTAATATCGTCGCTACCACTGAATAAGAGTTTTATAATCAGGAAAATATCGTTATGTGGGACTCGATTCGGTAGAAGTGGCACCGTTATATTGTACGATGAAGAAACTGAGGTGAGCTTAAAATGTTGGTTACCAAAAAGAGTTGTAGACCTTTTGAAAGAAAGCGATGTTGATGAGATCAATTTTTCTAACGGCGTTTATACTTTAACGTACTTGGGTCAGAGTGAACCTTCATTTGCAGGTGCAAAGACGCGAGCTCTCATCAAGTTTGATGTCAAGGGGGGTGTAATTGACAAATAGTTTCATATTTCCTCAATTAGTTTTTCGATATAGTGTAGTGAAAAAGGTTTAAAAATTATATAATAATTCTTACATTAACATCATCACTTTATCGCTAATCATCATTGATTTCGATACTTTTTTGGTGAGTGTTATATTGGCTACATACATTGGAATCAAGCATTACATTTTTTCCACCGTGATCCATTACCTGAATGTTTTGTTTATTTACAGAATTGATCACTCTTGTGCAGCACACGTTCCCGAAATGTGTATGAATTATTCTAGTCAGTTTTGGCCTACGGCGGAAGATATCAGATCAGCTGTGAGGAGGTTGAAATGTCGATTCATGGATTTGGAGCGTGATACACTACATGCAGGGAATTATGATATGAGTGTATGCTTCGATCAAGTACAAGTTCAGCGCCTCCTCAAACAAGCTGAAAAATATAAAATTGGATTTCTACTATGTGCCCGCTATGAATACAGCAACATTACTTTGGAGCAATTCCTTGAAGCAATGGTTGAAGAAGACTTGGAACAATTTCTTTATGAAATCTTCGATTTGCTACCAAACAGCCTGATTCGGAAATACCACTTGGGGGTGATTCCAGACACTGAAGATGAAGGAGGACAAAGGGGGTGAATTGGGCATCTATATAGCATTTTCGCGTAATGTGTAATGCCGATAATATTTTGATGTAAAAATAAAACAATAGTTTTTAGTACATTTGTATTTTATTGATTACAATGAATAACAATATCGAGTAGATTGAGTAATGATAAATTTCATGAAGAGAGATCTAATAACTAATGTGATGACGGTGGCGGTGTCAGTGAGGAGTGGATCCGCATCTATCGTATTCAAGGAGCACCCATCTGTATGGAACCATCTAATGCGCTATATGTCAGATATGCGTCATGAAGAATAAGTGCGTAAACCTTTGTGTTTGGTGGAAACTTCGTTTCGCGGGTTTCAAACTCCAATTTGATGTCGACAGTAGAAGTTTTCATCGCATCGGGTTGGTGGTAGCAGTCGATGATGAATAACGGATTTTTTCGGAACTCCTCAATACTCATCATTGGTTCACCCATATCTTTGCCATAGTAACTACGTTGGAAATTTTCGTATGCATAGTAAGCCACAGCATCTAACTTTCTGTCAAAATCCAAATTCCAGCGCTCATATGGGTAAACTTCTGAATTCAAGTAAAGGCGAATATTATTCACTCCTGCGTGAATGAATTTCGTAGCGTCCTTGGATCTATCATCTGTATTATCGGAGCTTTGAAAACCGATAATGATGTATCGCGGGCGCTCGAGGCTACTAGTTGTTTTGATAGCCCAAATATCTGAAGCTGTTTCACGAATGGCCGGTAACTCATACAAATCCCACATCCTGTATGCTAACTTGATTTTTGCTGTAGAACTTTTATTCAATCGATTCAACAACTTCAATTTCTGCCTATCGGACGGCATCACATGCCTTATCTTCCATTCGATTTTGTTGATCGTCACATTCGCATCAACTTCCCCCATATAGGAGTTTTTGAATGAGCGTGCTATGATGAGTATAAGCTCCTGCTTTATATTCAGAATTCCTTTATTATAGTCCTCTGCAAACCCCATTAAGAATTTAAGCGGTAGTTTTCCGCTGAATGTATGACTGGGTGTATCTAGAATCACCTGTTTATTTTCATCGAGACCCCATCCAACCGTGTCTAAAAATTTGGTGCTTGTCTCACCATAAGATATCATACTTTTCATTGTAGTGGTAATGCCCGGTTTTCGAATCAAACACACCTGTTCGCCACCCATTTCATAACGGATTTCATCGAACAGAAATGCGAGCGCATTATTGGACAGATGGCAGGTTTTTGCTAAATCGTTCGGGATGAATTTTCCCTCGATATAAATGTAGCTTTCAGCAATATCCAGTATCAAATCTTGAAAATTGACAGCAATCCTAATTTCATCGGAATTCTTGAATGATGGAGAACCATATGGTTTGTATGTATGCTCATGTAGGCTAATTAGTGAATGATCAAAAATTGGTTCATCAAACACTTCCAATTGTAAACTAGTAGAACTTGTGGCAACCATCGTTCACTTATTTCTGATCCTTCGTCGTTTTACTCTCAACCCAATAGACTTCAAAAAATTTAGGTCGCTCGCAGAAAGCTTATGATGTCTTCCTCGACCGGTGATTTGCCCTTGACTGAATCCTTTCCCACGTTTACACTTCTTCTTATTGGTAATGTGCAGAATAGTGGGGTGAGTAGCGAGCGATACACGTTTTGATTGGTTTCCAAAGCAGAAGCCCATCTTCCAAATCGACGTAGAAAATTTAATTTAGCTGTTTCAATTCCAACTTCACTATAATCTTCTCTCCTCGGAAGTCGACTAAATGATCGTTATCATCCAAAATTCTCAGTGTGATGTTGTCGATAGACTGACGCCCTGTCGGACTGATTGGTAGATATATTATATTTTTCGGCTCCTTTGAAAGTTTGTATCCTGGCTCCACGTCGACGTCGAACTCGTAAAGCGTGTGAACCTCCTCACCATTGAGGTATGCTCCAGTGGTGATATTACAATCAACCCGTATCAATCGTACCTTTATGATGTTCACAGGTAAAGTGGATTCATGCAAAATATTGGGCCGGTAAAATCCCGATTTAAAACCCAACACTTTAGCTATAGAAGTAGCAATATCTAGACTTATCAAGAATTCGGACTTGAGTTCACATTTGAGCGTATTATTGTTGGCACGAAGAGAGAACACATCATCAATATTTCGCCCATTTAGCGGAACCCCTCTTTCTATAGCCTTTTGTATTGCTCTATTGATTTCTTCTATTTCATAGGCGCCTGGTGGTATTTCAACAAGAAAGCTTTCCCCTTCATACCAAACAACTAATTTGTTATTTGTCTCATCTATATTGAGTATAGAGTTGTATGAATAGAACCCGTGTAACCCCAAACCGTAAGTATTCCTCACATCGAGCTCAATTGGTGGAAAAAAGTCTGCACTCAGGATACTACGATCTCCAGAAATGGTAAATGTTTGCGACATAACTTCTCATGAATGGAGAAAACAAACAAAACAGCGAAAACCAAAAACAAACGTCAATATATACAGTAGCAGCGTTAAGAGCATCAACCTTATTGCTGCCTGCAACAATGAAGAATGCCCGGGTTTTCGGTAGGCGAAGAATTAATATCAAATTTATTATTAGTTGCCACATTTACATCTTTCACTTGACAAAAACAACATAATATTTTTCTTGGCGCTGGTCCATCATTCACATCGATGTTGGCATGTTGGCCACCCTCCTCCTGCTCTCCACCATAATGTTCTTCACAAAATCGGTATTTGGCTATATCCGGATCGTTTTGTAATTGTTCCGGTAACTTATCCCACACTATAGCTATCTCATGTGATGCCAACCCGATGAGTACTTCTTTCGGCATATCAGCCAACTGTTTCTCACTCATTTCCAGTAAGGAGCGTAATCTTGAAAAAGCCAATAATGCATGTCCCATCCGCTTGATACTCTGCCTATCCATGTTTTGCAACTTTTATTTC